CAACAGCCAACCGCATCGAGACAATATTCAATGAAAACGAACGAAACGTTTTAAGATCGTGCCGGTGCCAACAACCAACCACAGTTCAGCACTCAGAGGAAGCCCAGCGGTTCAGTTTCCAGAGAGCGGAGAGCCCGAAGTAACAGCAACCACAACGAGCCGAGCTCAAGACACACAGCGAACATGTTTGAGGCAAAGTCGGTAACAGAGTACGCTTAAAAAAATTTAATATCATAACTATCATTCATAAAAGGTACCTTTGGTAATAAGATTTTACGCAATGAAATTAGATTTTTAATTTTAGTAAATGCGAATTAGCTCACTGCTAATTTCTTGGATCACAAAACTACACTAAAGTAAAAATATTTCGGAACAATTTGGGCTCCTTATGGAAAATTCAAATCTACTTAAGTATATTTTTTTAAATTTAAATGTGTTGGTGTTTTTTTTTTTGTATATCATTTTCAACTAGACAATTTGATCATTTGGTAGGCCTAAAGTACAGAGTACTTAACAGATCACACCGATTTAACAGTGTCGAAAAGCCTACAGAGCAGAGCGGCTCAGCAGCTGTTCGCCAAACAGGATTTCCTGCAGCAGCAGTGGCCGATTAACAGTTAAGTTTGCCAAGGCACAGAAATACAGGCTCAGACGCGTGCGCTTTGTTGATGTTGCTGCTGCTGTTGGAGTTGTGCTGCTGATGTTGCTGCTGCTGTTGGTGTCGCTGCTGCCGATGTTGCTGCTGGGATGAGATGATCTCTGAGGCCAGGGCCAATCTGGCAGTCCGAGTCTGTTTGGCGCTCAGAACGACGGCATTGATTTAGTCTCGGGTGGACGCTACGCTGCCAAGCACCGTCAGTCAGGCTTTCGCTGCTCTCTCGCTCTGCAATCGCAATCACATTATATCCGACCGATCGCGAAGTTCTTCGGCATTATGTGCGCCACGTGATCACTACTCTCGAAAGCCGTCGCTATATCAACAGCAATAATTCCTTTTAAATAAGTGTCATGTGATGAATACATATATCTGATATGATCAATTGATATTTATCCAGAAATACCCAAAGTGTGTGAAGTTAAAAAAGAACTACATAATTAACATCGGGGCCAAAAACAAAATCAAATAAGGGAATTTTTAAGAGCCTATAATTTATGCAGTTTTGGAAATACAAATTCTGGAAAAGGTAAGATTCAAGCAAAGACTAAATGTGTTGAAAAAGGTTCAAGTCACGGAGTGGCAAATGATATATTTAGGAAATAAACAAAACATTCATTCATATAATTGATACGGCATACCAAATTAAAAATTCATCACACATTAATCAAGACTGAAAAAATAAATAAATATAAACACTTCCCAGACAAGAAAGGCACATAAATAAAACATTTAATTCAGTTAGAGCCACTTTGCATAATTTGACTAAATTAAATTTAACAAAGGCGGCGTTATGACATTAAATTATATTGTCAGATAAAGTTGTTTAATTGGATATAATAAATCGAAAACCCTAAACATTAAAAATAATATTAAAACAATAAATTACGATCAAATAAAATTTAAAAAAAAATATAAATATTTTCTTAGTGAATAATGCAACAAAATTCTACGGTAATGAAAATACACAACACCAAACATCTTCTAAAAAACACAAGTCCAAAAAAATAAAAAGGTTTATGTGTAAGCGAAGGGAATTAGCGAATTTACTTTGTAATCAAGACCGAACGTTAACTCCCAAGAGTTCATACTTACCACTAAGGACGCCCAAGGAGAACCAGAAAAAGTGTAATGGTGAAGACAAAGGAAGCTCATTGACATGCTCATTAATAATGTTATTGCCTTTTGTGCGATAAGTGTCAAGAAATTACTACAATAGAAGCAGAGAATGGACAAAGTTGGAAGATATTCAAACATTTAATTGTCCAACTGCTGTCGGCAATCAAGCAGAAAAGGGCCAGAGGCAGCCTTTCGACTGGATCGTGGATCCTCGATCGCGGAGGATGTAGGACCGAGAATCGAGGATGGCGGAAGCAGACAATTCAAACTAGAGCGTGTGACTGCTGAGTGGATTTGCATATTGCGAATGTCCGTCTCCAGTGGCTGGCAGGGCTAATAATAAAGCATATTACCGGCAATTGTCTGCCGAGATCGGAGAAGATTCGGGTCGAGAAGGGGTTTGGATGGCAGATTGTGTCAATGCTCCGGGGTTCACCAGGCTGTGTTCTTGATTCTTGTTCTATTTTGTAGCGGCTTCAAAATATTTGAGACAATCGTGGTTTGCTTGTTTGAACACCTTTTCTCCCTCTGTTGCCTTTATCTGATTTGGCATTGTCCATCATTTTGTTTGCTTTTAAGGACACATTTTTTTGGCCCTTGTTTATTATTCTTATTGAGAAAAATACAACATTTTTAAATTTTTTTTTGGTCTGTCAACAGCGAGTTGATGAGCTTGTTGAGAATGTAGCCGCTACAAACTGATCTGGTTCTTATTGTCTAAGCCACTCCGAACTTGTCCCCCATCGAGTTCATCTCCAGTTAAACTCGGACTGGCACACAACATTTTGTAGATTTCCAGAGATTAGATCTGAACAATCATCCACTTGGCTTACGATCAATAAGTATTTTCTGTAGCAGTTTAGGTTTCTAATTAATTGTCTGCTTCAGCTCAATGTGTAACATTAATCTTGGCTTAATCGGTAAGCCTGTCAGCCAAGATCGTTCCTATGTTGTGATCTTCTGGGTTCGATATACACTCAGAAATGAACAATGGGGATTCTGGTTTTAAATTTGAAAGGAAACTGCACAGGAGAGTCAAATTTTTCGAATTTGCACAACTCTCTTCTATTCATTGTTTTCCCACAATCCAAACTGCCCATCGAACCAAATAAATGGACAGATAACGTTCACCTTTTGTAGGGGCTCGGCTTGAGGACTTTTAATTAGCTCGTGGCATGGGAATTATGTCCTCCTTCATGACTCCTGTCCAATGAAATGAAGGGGTAACTAAAGATGCTCCCCAAACAAGCCTCTCAAATATGCGTCCGGTTACGTGGAATAGTGGCCTTGGTCGCTGTCGTGATAATGTTAAAACGCTAAAAGGATTGAGATGCCGCCTCTGGATAAAAATCTGCAACTTTATAGCCCAAGCGTGCCGTTCAATTGCATTTCTTTCGGGTTTCTCAATAAGGATCGAAATGATTTGGGACTTTATTTCTATCTTAGGAGATCAGGTACGAAGAGATATGGTGTTATTTAAAGTCGATTTGGCAATGAGAGTACATTTAATAAACACCTCTTATCCACAAGTTAGCATGGCTATTAAAATGAATCTTATTCATATTTTATTCATATTTATTTATTTATCAATACTGCTAGACAATACTAAATTTTATTTTTCCGGGAGCTGGAAACTAAAGTTTAATATTTCTTTATTAAATTTATTCTTTATTACATTTTTATTTAAAACCCAGTCTGATCAGATGTTAAGGTAAAATTAAATTTTTAAGAATGAAATGTGAATTATTTTATAAAAATATATTTTAAATAACTGTCACAAACTAGAGCTTAATATATCCCATTCCCTTTACTTTAACGTGCTGTCACCGTACACAAAAATTACCATATTTAACTTACGCGTTGTTTATAAATCCGTTTTCTCAAAACTCCCCCCCTTCAGCTCATTTTGTTCTGGCTGCATAGAGTCCAGATTATCACTGTAGCTTCAGTATGAACTGCAGTTCTGGGTCGTAGAGACTCTGAGGCTTTTGTCAGCAATGGAAGATCTCCTCAAGCAGTTCTGCCTGATGGTTTTCCTGCTTTCTGGAAAAGCGCACCGCTGTGCCGAAAATTGTCACGGTTTCGCGGTCGCTGGCTCGCTCGCTGTGAAGGTGCAAATTTAATGTTTGCCAATTTAGCAACGCTCTGCTGTCACCTTTGGTGTCCATTAGCGAGCGTTTATATGCAAAGTGCCGGGCATTGGCAGACCATCGTCGGATTTGGCAGGCGGCGGCGATCGGATGGGGCTAACCATTATCACAGAAGCAGCATCACGTTGGGGCACCACCACCTGCTGGGCGCATTTCGCGAACCAGATCCCTGCCGCTGGCGGCCCTGGTCCGGAAAATGCCCAGATCCGGACACCTCTGTGGAGCACTTAACCTAGCTGGCTTGCGGGGTGTCAGGGCGTTTGGGCAGGCAGCTGTGGGTTAAAAAAGAGTACTACTCCAGCAGCATTTCATAACAACTTTCTAACAGAGTATTTTTTTAAATTTGCACATCTATTTAACCTTTTGGTATAAATCGTTATTTTGTAAGAAAAAGCTTTATATTGCTCCAACACTTTATTAATACTTTATGTAAAAATACAATTTAATATATATTGAAATTCAATTTATGGTACGTGTATTTGCTACTTATACGACGATAACACTAGTTTACAAAATAAAATCGACAAACTCCTCATCGAATACGATCTTGGCTTTTCGATTAAGTCACCCTGAAAAGAAAAAAGCACGTAAAATTGTTTGTATGCTGTCAATTTATATTTATTTTATTTTATTTCTCGAGTCCTGATAAGCCGATTTCGATTACTGGTAATAGAATGTCCTTAAACTTTTATTGCACATCGCTGAGTTTTAGTCACTAGTTTAGAAGCTGCACCTCGTCAAAGTTTGAAGAACTGCACTTTTAAAGGATGAGAACAAACATATCAATTAAACAAAAACTAATCGACTTGAAGAAATATACAAATACAAAATCTCTGATGCTCACAAAGTTCATTATATTATACACTAATTGTATTTTTCAAACTAAAAAATGATATATTAGAAGTTATCTTAATGTCCGTTGTCTAACAAATAAAACGAGAAAAACCCCCACGGCAAATATTATTTTGCACACCAATGTACCTAAGAATTTACAATGAATATCCATGACAAAATTGATCCCTCCCTCAGATTCTTCATGCTCATTAAATAGTTGACGCAAGATTTTCTGAGATATTTTATTTGCTCTTCGCTGCATCTTTTTTTCGCTTGACCTTAGGCTTTATGGGCAGGCAAAACAAGTCACTATAGTACATTGCATTAGATGTGTGAACGTAGTCTTCCCGGAAAATAAAAAGAGAGGTATTCTCGTGGTGAAAGAGAGGGGAAGATGAAGTGCAGGGTCTCCTGACATTGCCGCGACCGAAACTTTGATGGTGCAAGCCCAAACCGGTCGCTACGTACCTCAATTTCTATCCACGACCTGTAGCGAAAATAAAAACAAAATTCCGAAAAAAGAATAAAAATAAAGAGAAACGCAGTGGGTCATCGGTTATGCATGTTGTTGTTTTTGCCGCTGCAGTTCTTCTTCTTTTGCTTTTTGGCGTGGCTTTTGTGGTTGAAGCTTTGGCCATGGCCTCGTCTTGCTCACAGCTGAGCCGAGAGTAAGTGTGTTGGCCCGCCAGCAAAAACACAACCCGGAGAAAAATCTTCTGTGAAAAAAAGCATCATCAATAACAAGGACAATCGTGAAGAGGTCGCCGGAGTTGGATTTTTTTCCATTAGGTATTCCGCAAAACGTCGCAGGAAAGCAAGGAATGAGAAAAAAACATTGCTTAACTGAAGAGAAATTCAATTTTATTAGGATTCGAAAGCACTTACAATTATAAAAGTATTCAGATTATTTAAAACAGCTTGTATACATACATATGTGTAAATTAAAGCTAATAAAGACATTTATTACACCTGTTACTTGTAGAGTAAAAGGGTTTTCTACGCAGCGCAAGTTTGTTTCTGCCGACGGCCACGCCTCCTCTAACGCCCATAAGCATATCTCCGTCTCCCTCGCACTTCTATTAACTGAGTAACGGGTATCCGATAGTCGAAGTACTCGACTATAGCGTTCTCTCTTTTTTTTAAATGGGTAGCACGCAACATTGTATTGTAAACGGGTTGGTGACCCGACTATCTAATACCGGCCACTCAGCTAAAGGGAGTGCAGTGGAGATGGATATATACAATTTTTTTGATTGCGCATAACTTTTTAACGTATGGTCCGATTTGAAAAATGTCTTCTACATTTCGATAGGTATAAATATACACAACAAAATTGCATTTATACTTCTCGGAAATCGTTAAAGGTGTGGGCGCCAGACATATTTTAAAATCGTTACGACGATTGTGGGCGTTAGAGGGGGCGTGGCGCTGCGTAGGAAGCCCAAGAATATGTGTGGAAAATCTTAACCTTCTAGCTTTTGTAGTTTCCGACATCTCAGCGTTCATCACGGATGGACAGACGGACATGGCTGGATCGACTCGGCTAGTGACCCTGATCAAGAATATATATACTTTATAGAAACGCTTTCTTCTCCTTGTTACATAGTTTTGCACGAATACAATATACCCTTTTATTCTACGAGTAAAGAGTATAATAAATTCTAATTAATTAATTAAGGTAATTTAAACAAACCCAAAATAAAAACATTATATTCTTAACACTTTTAAATAAATGTTGTATATATTTTTTTTTGCAGATGAACCAGCTGTGCAAAGTTTGCGGAGAGCCGGCGGCTGGTTTTCATTTTGGGGCATTTACATGTGAAGGCTGCAAGGTGAGTTTATTGCTATGACAGTATAGCCACCCAAATCGATATTTTATAGAATTTAATCCCGACAATTGTGAGAAACTCTAGAGATTTCATTTCGCACACAGCGTAGACAAAATGTGCAAAAAATGATCTCGATTTTGGCTTTTACTTTTTTACAAAGCCAAATCGAAAACATTATTACTATAATTAAAATTCAATTCGGTAGATTAATCGATTTTTAATTGACTATAAGTAGATACGTGTGCGCTGCGGACACAATACAAGGCTCACCTTCAAATAGCATGGGAAAAAGTCTGCGAAATTCAGAGCAGTTCGCAGGGCGAGCGGGGCGGGTCAAAATATAGAGCTAGGTAAGCCCCAAGGCGACCACAATTGTAAACTGCAGTCAATCAAATAAAAATTACATGCATATTAGGTGACTCAGCGCAATCGGAAACAAAAGTCTCAGACACCCATCAAACACCACTCAAAGTTGAACTTCAAAATCAACTGGAGGCAAGCTCCATCATGAGTTGGCACGGCTCCAAAACAAAAGGGAATAGTAAATAGATCACGAAGAGTTGTGTCTTTTTTCTTATCTTAACAATTGTTAATGCTGTCTTACACTTAGTTGCTCAAATAAAAAACGCATATTTTGTTATTGAAGCAAGTTCAATAGGTGGAGCAAGTTAGTGACAGGTGCAAACAGGCGGAAACAATGAGAGCAATAAAAACTTACTGTGGAAAGGTGTTAAGTGGTTTACCTAAGATAGATTTCCTTTATTTATTTGAATGGATTGGAAGAAGTTTTAAACATGTTTCAGATAAAAAATCCAGGGATGGTAAATAAGAGTTAATCCCAAGAATATTTTTTATAATGTAAGAAATGGGATAAGAAAAATAAAAGTTAAGCAAGGGTGCATAACAGACAAGATATAATTACAAAAACGGGTTAAGTAAATTGCATTTCAATACACATATAATCTGAGATCTATTTGTTTAATTTTAAAAACTATAGTTATTTTATTGATTTCGACGAGAGATTGCATCTTAAATTCGACAGCACTAATTTCAGGGCCGAAAAAGTGCGTTCTACGGAGACCTGAGTAGCAGGAACGCAATGTAAAATTTTCGCCAGTCGGTATAAGTGTGGATAGGTAAACTTTTTTCCTTCCCAATACTCCATTATGTCCTATTTTAATTCGTCTTAAAGGTAAGGTAATTGTTTATTTCCGTAATCGTCAATTTAAGCTGAGGATCAACCTCGCTGTCGGATTCTTCATTGCTTGCTACATTAATTGAATTTAAAAAGTCGCTTATAAAACCACTTTCAGATGAATTTTGAGATTAAGTCGGATTCGAATCATCCTCTTCTTTTTGTTTTGTACACTCCTGTTACAAAAACAACATTAGTTTTATAAAATTATAAAAAATATTCTAGGGACATATGGCATATCAACAGAAAGGTATTCAATCATAGATTACATACATATAAATTTTAAACCAATGCACCCCTTAGTTTAAGAGTTATTTCAATTCAATATTTATTTTAAATTTTTTATTATAAAAGTTGACAAATAACTCTTATTTGTTGATTTTTCTAATAAAAATTGGAGAATAAGAGTTATATGTCAATTTTTTTGAATAGGGTAACTCTTATTTACGATCCCTGGTATATTGTATTCGTGCAAAAGTATGTAACAGCTAGAAGGAAGCATTTCCGACCCTATAAAGTATATATGGGCACTTCCAAAATGTCGCTCGGGACATTTGCACACCTTTAAAGTTGAAAAAAGATTGTAAAACAATGGATTTTAATTTAAATTATGGGCTTTTCTTTTCACTCTTCCCAAGCTCTATTTTTGGTAAAAATCTTGTGTACCACTTTTAGTTTTTAAGATATCGGTAAAAAACTGCCGTATTCGCTCGGGACAAAAATAGAAGTAGATTTCGGGGAAGTTCATACAACAGCAGAAATTAGCAAATTCTGATGGAATATTTGAATGCGATTTTTTTTAGAATGTTGTTCAAACATGTCGCTGTGAAATGCTTTTGGTTTTACTCAAAAATTCTTTGCCGTTTTTTTTTTTATGCAGTTTCAACCACATTCGCTCGGGACATGTCGCTCGGGACATTTTTTCCGACTGTTTTGTAAAGCGGATTTCTTTACCTCTATCTCTCAATTGCTGGATGTTTTGCTTTTAATTTAATAGTTTAGCATGTGAATGAAGCATTCAGTACAGAAAAATGTCACATATTAGCATTCCTATATGATAAATTTACAACAGATGACAGGTCCAAAAAATAACAAAAAAATAGCCAAAAACAGATTTTTGCGTATATTGGTGGGGTTTGTCATAAAAATAATCAAACTATACTCCAAATTTGTAGTTAAGCTCAGTATCCAACTAATTAGAAACTAATATCGGGGCAAAATCATGTGGAAATATGTTTTATTCAAGTTTCAAGGTTTTTGGCTTGGTGGACTTTTTTTTGGAAGTGCCCATATATTCTTGATCACTAGCCAAGTCGATATAGCCATGTCCGTCTGTCTGTCCGTATGAACGCTGAGATCTCAGAAACTATAAAAGCTAGAAGACTGACATTTTGCATGCAGATTCTAGGAGTTCCTACGCAGCGCAAGTTTGTTTCAAAAGGGTGCCACGCCCCCTATAACGCCGACAATCGCTTATATACGATTTTAAAAATTTCAATATTTCGGAAAAGTAAAAATGCAGTTTTATTGTGTTTATCAATACCTATCAAAATGTAGAAGAAATTTTTTAAATCGGACCATTCGTTAAAAAGTTACGGCGGATCAACGTTTTTATTTCCATCTCCTTCGCACTCCCTTCAGCTGAGTGACGGGTTCTCTTGTTAGTATTTTAATAATTTAACTTCTAAAGTTTTTGTGCGATTGACTTACAATTTTTTGTATAATCTTAAGATGTTTTTTTTCGCAAGACCCCCTTAGCAAAGAGCCATTGTAAAGTTTAGGGGGCGTAGACAGGGGGGGAGGGGCTCGGGGGACTGTCGACTGCTCTGCTGCTAGCAGCAATAACTGTGTGTCGAATTTATGTTATCTCTGTCTCGCTCGCACTCATGTTAACTCCCATAAGGAAAAAAAATTTTATCATAAATTGAAAATAAAAATTAAAAGTGTTATCCCAGCCTAACTAGGAGTACAACCACAAATTCAGAGTAGCAATGGATACTCAATTTCAGATCGTACACGCTCAGTGTACACCCCACAAATATGTATGTAGCTAATAAAAGAAAATACAATATGCTTGGGGAACACCAGACTGTGACGATTTTTGAAAGTACGTAAGGGTAATATTTAATAGTAAAACTACTATAAAATAGTCAGTTGTGTGTATTTTTATGTTGTGCGGGTAACTATTTCATTGGTAACTATTTCATTGGTTAAATTGACAATTCTGTGGTTGGGAACCGTTTTATTATTATATTGGTTAGATTTACCAATTGATTTTTTGGTGTGTACCATGAGAAACCGAGAGAAGACTACTATATATAGACAGCAACTTGAAAATTTGCTACGATAGTCCGATCGCGTCAAAGTATTTTTATACCCTTGTAGAGGGTATTACAATTTCAGTCAGATGTTTGCAACGCAGTGAAGGAGACGTTTCCGACCACATAAAGTATATATATTCTTGATCAGCACCAATAGCCGAGTTTCCGACCACATAAAGTATATATATTCTTGATCAGCACCAATAGCCGAGTCCATCTAGCCATGTCCGTCTGTCCGTCTGCCCGTTTCTATGCGAACTAGTCTCTCAGTTCTCTCTTTCTATTGCAGGTAGTACATATGTCGGAGCGAGCCGGATCGGACCACTATATCTTAAGGCTCCCATAGGAATATTCAAACAAATATTAGAAAATTTATTGTAACTTTGTAGGAAGTAGGCGTTTTGATTCTTGACTACTTACAAACAAAATGTAAATAAATAGAAACGATGAATCTGGAATCCCTGGAACTGCACCGAGTAAGCATTCTTTAATCTACAAGGGTATATAAGCTTCGGCTGGCCGAAGGTAGCTTCCCTTCTTGTTTTTTTCCAATTTTGACGATGAATGTAAAAGAATTACTATTTTTACCTTGCTTAAATTCCCAAGAGGTAAAATGTCAACGGCCACGGAAGCTATAATTTCTGGTACCAATTTTTTTTTACATAATTTTACGTTTGTTCCTATGGGAGTCATATGACAAAGTTGGACAATAGAAATAAGACTTCCACCTTTTAAAACTGAGAAACTAGTTCGCGTAGAAACCGAGGGACATGGTTAAATCGAATTATCTACAGATGTTGATCAAGAATATATATACTTTTTAGGTCGGAAAACCCCTGACTAAATCATTAAATCATTAAGCCTCTGCCGAGATACAAAAATAGGGTCACGGTTGGGGTACCAAAATAAGCTGTCATTTGACCCATTAAGCTATTCGGCGGTATACCGTTTTTCAAAACATGGTTTTGAGTAAAACTTTTTGGTGTACTGGTGTAAATTTACTCCAATATCTCAAGAACGATGCCATATATCAACATGTTCTTTTACGCATTCTTAAAATCACAAAAAAAACCCGCCCTTAAGAGAAAAAATTGTAAAGTAGAAATATTAGGGTTATTAAAACGTTCTGATATCGGTATCCCGACACAAAAAAAAAACATGGTAAAATTAACCAATAAAATATAATATCAAACAGTCCCCAACCACAAAAATTGTCAATTCTACCAATTAAATAGTAACTTTCACAACAAAAAATACACACAATTAGCAAAGACACATACCCAAAGCAAAAACAAAATACACGTAATTAGTTTTTATAGTTACGTTACTATCCGTATAGATCAATTTTACCAATAATCAAAGAATTATAACAGTATTAAAAATTTTGTTAGAAATTTATTTAGATTGTTTTCTTTACCCATAGTAACTCTCATAAGTTATTAATTACGTTTTCTTTTATTCCGTAGTCTTTTTTCGGTCGAACATACAACAACATAGCGGCGATAGCAGGATGCAAGCACAACGGCGACTGCGTGATCAACAAGAAGAACCGAACGGCCTGCAAGGCGTGCCGGCTGCGCAAATGCCTCCTGGTGGGGATGTCAAAGAGTGGTTCCCGCTACGGTCGACGGTCCAACTGGTTCAAGATCCACTGCCTCTTGCAGGAGCAACAGACAACGACGGGCGTCGGAGGAGTTGGTTCGGGCGGAAGTGGATCAGGTGGCGGCGTGAGCAGTGCGAGTCTGGAGCAGCTGGCGCGACTGCAGCAGGCCAGTAATCAGGCGCGCCAAACCTATCAGGATAAGACGAATCCCTGTATTAAGTCAGCCACCGCAACATCGCCCAAAATCGAGGGAGCGGCCGTGGGCACAGGAGTTGGTGGCGCCGCCTCACCCTCGTTCCTTCAGGCGGTCAAATTTCACCACAATCATCATCACCACCAGCGGCAATTGAAGCTCGAATCTCGCCTCAGCAATACGCCCAGTGATTCGGGAGCATCTTCGGCGGGAGATCCCAATGAAGATGGAGCAACCAGCGTGCTAAGCGGTCAGATCCCCACACCTTCATCCACCAACGCCACCCGCCTACCCAAGTTCGAGCTGCGGCATCCCAACTTTCCGGCCACTTCGGAGCCGGATGCGGAACTGCAGCGGCAACGCCACCAGGAGCTGCTCGAGATCTTCCGGAGCCACTCGGAGCCGCTGTACAGCTCCTTTGCCCCATTCAGCCACCTGCCACCAGTACTGCTCGCCGCCGGAGTTCCGCAGCTGCCCATCTTCAAGGATCAGATCAAGGCCGAGCTGCTGTTTCCCACGGCCAGCAGTCCGGAACTGGAGGAGCCCCTCGATCTGTCCTTCAGATCTCGAGCGGATCCCACCAGTCCGCTGGTCCACACCTCCAGCAGTCCCAGCTTAAGTGAGCCGGCAGCGGCGACTCACTGCTTGGCGGAATCCCCGACCTTCGTGCGAAAGGCCACGCCCCTTGATCTCACCCTGGTGAGATCACAAACACTGACAGGCTGAGATCATGTCGTGATTGCCAGAGAATTCGTTCGAGTGCCAAAACAATTTCGAGTACTTTAGGTTTAGGTATGTACAGAGTATTTAATCAACTTCAGAAAGTCGATGGGCTTCAAAGAAAGATTCGTTATGACTGGAGAAATCATTATGATTATTTTTTTATTTTTCTTAAAATTTTTCAATTTGATTAGAAATCAATTATATTATAAAAGATGACACTATTTCCAAATTAAAACAGAAGCTAACGAAAACATACAAAGAACCTAAAAGAACACAACGACTTAAAAAAAATAGTATAAGAAAAAGAAAGAAATTGAACATTTTGGTGCCAGTGAAATTATGTACAAATATCAATATTATATGTTACTTTAGCTCAATGACAGTAAATATTTAAATACAATTAGGTTATACTCTTTATAAATATTATAATTTGTAGCCCAATTGTTTTCTTAATATATGTTCAAAAATTGTGTAAGGATAATTTAAGAATTCTTAATTTGATGTGTTGTTTGCGTATTGACTTTTTGTTTGTTTTATTATTTTTAAATAATTTATTGTCTTAGCGAGTTAAGAAGCGATCAAAAATGTAAAAGTAAAAGAGAATAAAAATTTATAGCATGAATTCTGTCTAAAACTGAATTTATCACACTTTTAACCAAAATTTTTTAAGTGTTTCTAGAGGGGAGAGAAAGAGCATTCAAACAAAAATTTCTAAAGTCCCGTGACGAAAATGCAAGCAATTTAAGTACTTTTTGGCTACCGATAAAATGGCTATCGAAAGATCTTTTAAATAATAATAACTATAATATTACATTTTTTTTTAATTGTCTGCCCAATAATTATGTATTACACCAGTTATGTTACGGCGTTAATCTACAAACTTCTTAAACAAATCTCTATATTTCTCCCTCTGGACGCTGACGTAAAAAGCTTCATTCCATTGACACATGACCAAACTTTTCCTTGCCATCTACAGCAGAAATTTGTTCAATATACAAGTACATATCAATACATGTATATGTATTTTCAATTCAACTGTCACGGCGTCTGTGCTTACGTGTATATCCATCAAGTGGGGACCAGAAAATCCTGGCCAGCCAATGCGTTATTCATTACATAACAGTGCGGGCTGACATATTTCCAAATGTCAGGCTACCTAGATGTTGACTATATAAATGTAATTATGACAAGCCAAGACAGATGACACAAGTTTATATCAGCTCAACGGGAGACCAGAGACTTGGGCAGGGAATAGAGGCCAAAACAAATGACTTAGGAAACGAACTCGAAGTTTCGTGAGATGGGTGAGGTTACTGCTTTATTAAGTAGAAGTAGGCTATAAAAGAGACAGATAAGTATTATTTAAAACATTTCACATAAGTGTTCGTCATTTGGTTCAGACCAACGTATAGATTGAAATTATTTATTACGGGAAGCAGTATTTGAAAAGAAGATTCCCGAATTCAAATTACGTTTTTTGTTCAAGGTTTGTTTCATTTTGATTTTTATCACCCTTTTCAGAGGTACTTTCAGCGAAACGAACTGCCGTTTACATATCTGCTGTCGTCTACACATCTTCACTAATTTATACACCTTAAACACTTCATTCCACTTACGCTTAGCCATCACTCGCACTAGGAGGTGTGCAAATATACAAAGACATAACTCTCTTGATTGGCTGTGAAACTCTCGAATGGCAATTCACACGTCTATCCGATGGGTCTATGTCTGTCGGTGTGTTCAAGAGAGTATCTTTGGGAACACGCCCCCCGAGAGCAGCCAGACAAAGTGAGATACAAAGCTGAATAATCGCACGACACACGCACAATTAGCCGCGCAAACAGTAGCCGCTAAACAGAAATAATGCTCCGAGCGAAATGAATACACCGATGGCTAGGGGATCGCAAACGGGCGACTGGAGATCGTGAGCATGAAACATCGACTCGCGTGCTCAATAAGCTTTTAAAATGCATTTATGCACGGTGATGGGGAATGGAGAGCTGAGGAACAAGTGGCCACTGGTGTAGATGCTTGTTGCAGATACTTTCGCAATGAGTTTTATTGGTGTCGTCGATAGAGATTTACCGATCGAGAGAAAAGCCCCAGGCCAGAAGGGATAAAGATAACTTTACATTATGCATTGCTTTGGCTTAGGTTCCAAAACCAAAAGAAAACACAGACCACCCAACTTATGTAATACAATACCTGCTCCAATAATAATCATAACATTTTGTGACGATTTACGACAGCTGAACTTGAAGCATTCAATGAAATGAGAAAAATAAATAAATCTATGGCACAGGGAGAAAATGAAATCAGTTTACAATCCGATACAGACACAGCGGGCGAGCATTTACAAACAATGAAATTCAATGCAATAATTCAAGATTCAATTGAATTTTAAGTACGCCCAGAGCCGAGCTTCCTTTTGTATCCGTAACTAGAAACTGACGATAAGCTAAGGCCAACCGACTGTCAGTCAGTCAGTCCCGGCCGACGGCAATCCATCTCATCTCCGTCCGTCTGCCTCTGTGTCATTTTGCCTGTGTGTCGCGCACGCGCATAAACTTTTCAGTCCGGAGGTTGAACAATCGAAGGCGTCGTCTAGCTGAACCAGTTAGCTCTTTAAGACGGAATTGGCCCCAAAAATGAGACAGTTTTTGGCCCATGTTTGACAGTGGGTTGCAAAGTTGGTTGTTGCCCCTTGCATTATATTAGCGCCCAGTTATTTACATGTTTTGAAAATAAAGATGCATCGCTTAATTAAAATTTAGATTAAAACAAAGGTATTATGATTGGAAACTAATTTAAATAAATAAAATCAAAATGTTACAAGTGAATCTCAAAAATAAGAATGTGTATAACATTTTTAAGAAAATTTAAGAATTGCTCTTCGCATTTCTTTAAAAAGAAACGTTTTAGAAATCGAGACCTATGGTGCTTGAAGTATACTCTTTGAGATTTAATATATCATATCCTACTTTTGAGGTCGGGAATATTGTTTTGAGAATTTGTTTTTTCGTTGCGTATTTTATGAGTAGAAAGTGACTAAAATATTTGTAATTCAAGTAAAATTTATGACAATTTGGGCAGTTACTCTGTATAAAATAAGTAGACAATTTTACCAGAAAGATTTTGAAATTATAAATACAATATGCCATTTTGTCTCTGGCAAAGGAGTACAAATTTAAGAAAATAAAGAATATAAATTGTACATCTGTCTTAAATAGCTGCCGTGTAAAAGCCTAAAACTACGACACCAAAACCTCCGATCACCGTGCCGCAGTGAAATCGCTGAAAGATCAGCAACAAAACGCTGCAACAAGAGTTCAGAGTTGTCAATAAAAATTAATTGCAATTTTATTGCCACAGAAGGCAGCTCCTGCATACAAAGTACCGACTACGCATGGCACTTGAATACTCTTCAAGGTTTTGGAGATACCAAACAAGTTAATCGCACTTGGTAACATGAAATAAATAAAGAAGAAATATACGTCAGATTTATTACTTAAAAATTATTTTTTATAAATATATTAATATAGAAAAATGGTGAGAGTAATCCCAACTCAGCATAAAGTCTTCCGTTTTTGGTTCATGTAACATGTTTTGCCCGTCAAAAACTCCATGTGACCCAATTTTTCAGCCAACTCAATAAAAACAAAAGCAAAACAATATTAATTCAATTTCGAACCGACTGATGCTGCAGGCACCTTAAATGTTAATAAATGCACAGCACGTGCGTCCCGAAATGCGACCAGCAAACAAACAGCTAAAAACTGGGTCCATAAATACAACTTTGTTGCAATTCTGAGCCAATTTTCCTAGCTAATCCCGCAAAAAGTTTGGGCTGATGACCTCCTTTCTTCAAACGTTGTCTAAATTTAGTTTACAGCGTTTTTAATTTGTAAATTAATTTTGTAGTTAAATAATTTAATGCAAATTGGCCTGGTATGCCTTTCGCGAGTCTTTTTTTCAATTTGCGCTTTCAACATGACTGTTAAGTTAAAATTTTTGTGGACGACGTTTAACAGCTGTTAAAAACGTCCACCACAAAAATGTGAAATGTGTCGCTCAAGCTCTTAAGGAATCACGGTCCATCGAGGATATTTAATTCACGGTTGTAGGGTCTGGCTTGCTATAAAAACAATCTTACATTTTTGTCGAGTTTTATCGAACGCCTATTATTTTGACAACAAACGAAAATCCCACATGTTTTTTATAGCAAAATGTCACAAAAAACCTCAAAATTCTAGAAAATGCTATTTTGTTTTTATAGCAAAACACGCAACTTTGAAATGCAATAACAAGAGAACCATGCATTTCCGCCGATAATCTTCTGCACGTAAATTCATAAGAAATCGCGGTCCGTCGAGGGCAATTTTTTCGCGATTTTTGGGGCACAGGCCCCAAACTATACAATTTTTTTTAATTGGGCATAACTTTTTAATGAATACACAACAAAATTGCATTTATACTTCTCGGAAATCTTTAACGGGTTGTGCGCCAGACACATTTTAAAATCGTTAGTGGACGATTTTGGGAGTTAGAGGGGGCGTGGCGCTCGGCTGAAATAAACTTGCGCTGCGTAGGAAGCACAAGATCTCAGCGTTCATACAGACATGGCTATATCGACTCGGCTAGTGACCCTGGTCAAGAATATATATACTTTATAGGGTCGGAAATCTGTTACATACTTTTGCACGAATACAATATAGCCTTTTACTCTACGAGTAACGGGTATAACAATTCTCCTAAAATAAAATTTCTGCAAACCTGGTCACTCTAGAGTTAAACTTTATGTTTGAAAATGAGGAAGAAGAAAATTGTGCGATCTGGTCACTCTGAAATGCAGCCAGAGAGTAATAATGTATAGAGGCGCCATTTGCTCTGCCGCTCTCTTCGGCGAATTCGCCGAAGATGCCACCTAGGCGAAAAACGACAATTTCCCTCATTTTTAATAGGTTCGATTCAAACATGCATTTTGGGTCCATGGTGAGTTTAAT